GTTTATAAAGGAGAAGAAAAACAACTTAGCAGCAAATTAGTTCACGAATTCATAATAAGACTTGTGAATTGTGGTAAGAAAAATGAAATTTGGGTGAGGTTAGATAACAACTTGGCTAGGTTTGGTATGCAAGAATTATGTCTTATTACTGAATTACCTTGTTACGAACCACCAATGAATATTGATTTCAATAGTGATTGACTAAGAAGTGAATATTTTAATGGTAGCAAAAGGATCGGCATGAGAATGCTTTCTGAAGTATTCCACATCTGTGATAATGAAGAAGATAAATTTAAGCTTGGGTTGGTTATATTAGTCGAGTGTGTCTTGAAACCAACTAAAAGGTTCATTGATTATAGAAGTCTTAGAATGATTGACCACCTTGAAGAGTTTCTTGCGTATCCATGGGATCCAAAGTCATACTTTATTTTGTTAAACTCCCTACAAGAGTCACAATTGGAAAGAGCACAAATGATACAACAGATCAACAATTATTTTGTAAATATGCATTACATAGATATCCTCTTGCATTCCAAGTAATTTTGTTTATTTTTTTATTACTTATTCTGTATAATTTATTTATACACAAAAAAAATTGTATACATCTAATACCTATTTTCAATTATGTTATAGTATTGGGTTTATGAAGCATTTCCTGAAATTGGAGAAAAAATTTGGACGCCGCAGATGCAAAACAGCACAAATTCTACAAATACATAGATGGAAACCAAAAATTTTATTTGACAAAGAAAATAGTCAAACAGATTTTAGCTAATGAAGAGGTATAATTTTTTTGTTTATCAATTTGTAATTACATGTACATTTAATATACAAAAAAGAAATTCAACGATTCTAATATTTGATTGTACAAATCTATGCAATTGCAGTGCTACAACCAGACGAACAAGAATTGCAAACATTATGGTACACTACTCTATCATTGCCATTGGACAATCAACACAACATATTAGACGATATCGTGAATAGAAATTTGAACAATGTAGCACAACAACAAATCCTAGATGACCTCAATGTAGAACAAACGACTGTTCCTGGTACTTCAAGAACACACGGTTCAGTTGGAGTTGAACCTAACTCTGCATATTCTGGTGAGTGCAACTACCTAAAAAAGAAATGGATGAAGTATTGGCTACATATAGGCAACACACGCATCAGATGTTATATCATATGTCACTCGTCTATGTAGCAACCTAAAAGAACAAATTGCGGAAGAACAAGATGTTCATTATCATGCACTTCTTGAAAAAAAAAATTGTTTCAACAGTATCAAAAATGGCAGGAAGATCATATGCAATTTGGTTTTCAATTTGGTACCCAATCTTATGCTGATACTTGGAGTTTGTGTGAAAGTCCCTTCAATGATTATATTGCTAAGGAATCAAAAAGACAACAAGGTCATTACTAAATAATCCTTGACAATCAAAGACAATTCTTCTAACAGCAATAAAAGTGCAAGAAAATCATTATCAAAACATCCAATCGAGCATGGAATCTTATATGGATGCAAGCATAAATTCAGTAAGATCTTATATCGATGGAAAAAATAAGAGCATGTTGAACAAATTACATGACTGAGAATCAAATATGGAAGCAATTATAAGTTCCATGCAGCAAGATCTTTCTATAAATACTTCAATTCCCAATAGTTCAATTCCTAGCACTCAACTGATGCCATCGTCGACATCTCAACAAATTGAGAGTTTTGAAAGATTGAGAAGAGAAGGAAAAAGTAAGAGGAAACAGGTACGATCTTCATCCATAAATTACCTTTAGAAGACTATCTGATGGAGAGATACAAACAATTAGAAATTGTATTTTGAGACATCCACTGGGTAACAAATCTAATTTTACTTTATTAGCTTAAATATTATAAATTTGTTACGATTTATCCAATGCTAACTTAAATTGGTTATAGCACATATTAGGATGACGGATGAGGCAATATGTATGGAAGAGATATGTTGAAGACTTTACTAAATATAACAAAAAATATAACTATTGAGATAAGTAAAGTTTACTACAATAAATTTCATTTGATTACTATATATCTATTTTGTGCCTATTTATTTTATTATAACATTGAGGTGGAGTTAAAACTATTGAGACTGAGGATTAATGATGGTTGCACACTTGTTTCTAAAGAATATGCGATCATAGACTTTGAATTTCAGATTGAATGTGTTCGCCGGATGTTATGGTAAGTAAACTTAGAAAACATAACTAATGTAGAGATCATCCAATGGAAACACTTAACTTACAGGAGTATGTAAATGGTAGATTATCTACAGCTGGTCGTCTATGGATAGTAAGCAACTATTTCTTAATCCATGTGCATATCCAAGTAATAGTTGGTACCTTTTTGTTGTTAATATTCGTGAGTGAAAATTCCAAATATACAATTGCAGCAACGGTGTTCACACACCAGAAGAAGTTAGAGCTTATGCAAAGGCAACACTTAGTTTAATCCAAACGTTATTATCGTCTTCAATTCCTATAAGAAGAGATATAAGAATTTATAGAAACAAACAAATGGAGTTGGAGATCATACCTTACTTATCATGTGCAAACAATGGGTGAGCATTAAAATTATATATTATATACTATAATGTTCAAATTTTTTTCGAATTCGATCTCAATACTAATTTAATCTAACATAAACTATTTGTTTATTTTGCAAGCCAAATTGCGCAATTTTTGTAGTTAAATACATAGAATTTTCATCCTAAAACATCCAATAGAAACTATTTTACCAGACATGATGAGCATCTATAGAAGGAAGATTGTAATAAATATTTGTTATAATGAATTTTTACATCCCCAATAGTCTTGATGCCTGAGTGTAATGCCTAATTGTAATTGATAGTTCAAGTACACTAACTTCTTGTCTTGTTGGAAGGAAAGTTATGTAAGAAATCTAATCTAATTAGGCTATGTACTGTTTTTAAGTGCTATGCAGCTTTTTTTTCTTTTCTCCTTTGAATATGTTGTTACATCATTATTTTGTTGTTGTTTCATTTTTTTTCTAATGGTAGTGTGAGAGGAAGAGTAAAATTTAGAGTAAAGACAGCACCCACAACCAATTATCATGACTGTCACCACTTTCAAAACCAATTGCTATCTTTCCCTCTAGTTGCTATTCGGAGATCAAATTCATAAGCTCACAAATAAAATTTAGAAATTCATATTTGCACTTAATCATTAATATAGCAACCAAGGACAAGAAAAAGGGTTTTGTAGATAAGCGAACAAGGTCTAAAATTATATATCAAATAAAAGTCGAAAAGCACTTAAAAGCTACAAAAAAGAGGAAACTCACATTCAATACAAAATTTATAGTTGCAATTGAATTGTTTGTGTTGAAGTCAGTATTCACTAACCTTGTGCACTCTCTTGAATTTGTATTACAAAAATTTTCCTTTCTGGCCAGCAGAATAACAAAGATAAAATGTTACTATAATTTTATACCTGTCAATCTTTCAAATAAAAATTGAGAAAATAAAGAATAAGTTATACAAATTTGTACATAAAAAGAGAAAAACTATAGTAAAAACCGCATGGCAAGGCGGGGACTTCCCCCGTTTGCTGCCCCATTTTTTTTTTCACAGGGTGAGGCGAGGATTTTTGCCATCACTACATATATTTCACATAGGCACACATTCCTTGTAATGCATGATACTCGGTCAAAACGCATTGTCACGCATTACACATTTTAGAACCTTGATATTTAGGCAACATTAAAAATTGGTCAAACAGCACAAAATTCTTCACCTATTGGATATGAAGTTGAAAACCCCTACCTTTTGAAAATAGCATAAAAGGTCCTTATTTGAAATCTTTAATGCAAAATACCCATACCGTCATATTCTGTAAGTTCTACCCCTCAACCTATTAGACATGGCCTACAAACCCCCTTCCCCACACCTATTGAAATTGACCAAAATGCCGTCTATTTTTTCAATAAAAAGATTGAAAATGATGAATACATCCTCCTATTTAAATAAAATAAAAAGGAAGGGAAAGAAAAAAAATCTAATTTCAATTACAGTCCTAATTTTTTTTTTTGAAATAAATGAAAACAAGTGTCAAATAAATAGTTTAAAATTTAAAATAAAAAATAAAAACAGCCCCCCAAAAATAAAAATACTACCCACCCCCAAAATAGAAAAAAGAAATATCCAATATATTTTTTTGTTTTGGTTCTTTATGGATTTTTAATATTTATTATTTTCATTTATTTATTTATTTATTTAGAACTTGTTTGCACTTATTTGAAAAATTTTGGGACTTTACTTAAATAAAATAGTATATTCGTCATTTTCAATATTTTTATTAAGAAATTCGCTATATCTAATAGAGGGGAGTTTTGTCCTTCCTATTTTTCTTTTTTTTCCTATTGATATTTAACGACACAATTGACGGAACAGGATAGCAAAGGGTATTTCGCACAAAAGATTTCAAAGAGGACCTTTTATGCTATTTTCAAAAGGTAGGAAATTCTCGACACGGCATGACCAATTGTTAATTAGCTTTATAAATTAGGGTTATGTTGGATGGATAGAGATTCGTAGGCCCCTGTCCAAATAGGAAGCGTAGGCTCTTTATTCTATTCTCTAAATTAGAGAAATGCTAAAATATCAATGGAAATTTTCACAGGATTTTTATAGGCTTTCACAAACAGGTGGATCTCATGATTTTTTGGGTATATTTTGAAGAGTGTTGCTATGGGTACAAAATTATTCAACGGAATTTTTACATAAATTCAAAATGCACATACACAAGGTGGGTAGTGTGTGTTTTTCCAATATAATACTCACATGGTCCCATCCCATGTGAATACCCTATTTTTCTTCTGTATAAACAATTTTGTACGTGGAGAATTGTTCTATTTTGAATAAGATGGGACCCACGTATTTATGAGAGACCGTAAAAACCCTATGAAATTTTCCAAAGTGTAGCATTTCTCAAAAAATTAATAGTACCATCATCCATTCCAAGCCTCACGAGTAAGTGAGGACAAACTCGGTATTAGCTAGACGGCAGTAAGAGGCGTGCATTAAAACGGCGTCGTTTGAATTCCTCCCCAAATGCTGTACTGCCGCTCTGCTGAATTTCCTATCATCTTCCAAAGCCCCAAAAGGCAAAACCATCAAAATTTCTCAGGTCTTTTCTTAGCTCAGCAATCTCTTCAATTTAATCTCTCTCCACACACGCATTTTCATAGTATATGGTATTGTTTTCTATAAATCTAATGAATTTTCCAAATTTTGTGTATATAAATGCAGATATAGGTATACACATACATACATACATACAATGGGAGTAGGAGGAAGGGATGCTTCGATATCACTGGATGGCGTGAGGGACAAGAATTTGATGCAGTTGAAAAAGCTAAACACTGCCCTTTTCCCGGTCCGGTACAATGATAAGTACTATGCCGATGCTCTCGCCTCCGGTGAATTTACCAAATTAGGTCAGATTTAACTCGATTTTTTTTTTTTGTCATTTTATTAATTGGGAGTTTGTTGTTTTGCCTTTTTTCTTTTATAAGTAGGGACAAATGCTGTCTGATTTTGTTTGTTTTTTCTTATGTTTTCAGGATTTGGTGTTATATTGCTGGAGAATATATTGTTTGATCAATTTTATCAACTGGGCATTTCTTGTTTTTCCTTAATAGTAGCTGTTGGGGAAAAAAAAAAAAAAAAGAAAGAAAAAAAGAAACCACACTTATTAACGCTGTCTTCTGTGGATTTTAGAGGATTTAAGCTCATAAAAAGGAAAATATGGTGATATTTTTTGCTTTTGGTTGGAATTTTGGCCTACGTTTCAGTAAAGTGTTTATGTAGTGATTTAGGGATTTTTGTTCTGCTTTCATATTAACCAGTATAGAATATTGATGTTGAATGGAACGTATTACAGGATTTCAGGCTCATTAGAAATCTTCTTTTATCCTTTCTCCTGTGTTGTTTAATCCAATTCTTTGTCTGGGTTTGGCTTCGTTACTGATTATTCAACTAGTTGTTGCTTTCTTTTTCATGTACGCAAACTTATTATTTCAGGTTTTCACCCGAATTTTTTTGAGGACTAATAATCATTTATTGCTTGGAAGCGTTTCTTTTTCTTATCTTCACCTTTGTCAGATTGTTAGTCAGGGTTTTGTTTGGTGTCATTTGGATGTCATAGCTAGTTCTCCTTTTGTGCTGAAACTATTTATTGCTGATTACCTAATGTTGTTAGGGGTTTAACTGTTTAAGGTCCAGATTAATTCAACGTGATTTTTAGTTTTCTCTGATGCTTCGTTCATGAATTATTCTTGTTGTGTGAATTCAAAATGTTTAGCGTTCCTTTAATCTTGCAGTAACTTGGAAAAGTATTGGCTGGTCTATATTTCTCAGTGCTTCCTGATTTTGCTAGGATGTGTTTTACCATCATAGCTTCCTGCTTTATGCTTGCATTTTCTTTGATTTTCAAGTTATTAGTTCATTGCATAGATCTCTTTTATGACTGTCGACTGATGCTAATTGTTCTAGTCTAACTAACATAAGTATTCATATTTCGAATCAACTTCCATGCTGAACACTTTACTACTGTAAAGAGCTATTATGAGCCATTTTGCTGGGCTCGCTTCATTTTGCTGGGCATGGACAAGAAAAAGGTTGATTATGAAGTGTAGCACATTGAGAAAAGACCTCTTCTCAGCACATTAGTTACTAATTTGACCAAGTTTGACATATGAAATCATTTAAGTTAATGTTGTCTAAAGAACAGCCATTTATTATGTTCAACGATAGAGACATGGTACACCAAAAAAAATTAATAATATAGCGTGGTAGAAGTTGGCATATAGTCAAGATATGTGCTCTCCTGTGATGGTACTAAGAAATCCCAACTTAATGAACATAAGGGAAGGAGTTCTTTTGCATGCCCGTATGTATAAAACAATTGCATCTTAAGGTTAGTTCAGGGCAGTATAGTTTGAAAACGGTGGTTTATTAGCTCCAATACCTCTGAACTATGGTACACTAAAACTATCCATGGTCCCTTATGAAGATAGATTGAACGGTATAGGTGCTTCTATAATTAATTTAGTAATTTCATATCTCAACTCAGCAAAGCCTGATCTCATATTTTCTACGTAGATTCTCTTTCTGTGATTCAGTTAAAAAAAATTAAAATTAAAATTAAAAAAATAATAATAATAATAATAGAGAATGATCCTCAAGATGGTAAACTCTGACTTATTAAAGGAAATTCCAGCAACATAAACTTTAAAAACACTTGCAAGCATTGGCAATCTGTTTTAATTGACTTTCCAACTGCACTGTGAAATAAACTTGGCATCTGGGTAGTTAAAGCTTGAACAAAGATTTTTGCCCCAGTTTTTAGAAGTAAATAAATGACTTCGGGCTAATGATGCTTAAATTATTGACATAATATAGTAACATAACAGTGAAATCAAGGAAAGAATTGTTTTATTATTTGAAGAAAATATTTGATATGTACCTAAAAGGATGTTAGTATAGAACAAAAAACTAGGGACGTAAACTTTAAGGTACCACTTAAAGTGGACAAGGTTTGTCCTTGGAATTATAGCAGTAGATATAAAATTAAAAGAATGACAGAGAATTATGACTTGAATTTAATTATTACTGATTTAGAAATAAACCTCAACATTCCAAATAAATTTAATTAGTTGAAATTATGTCATTGTGAAAATGTATGACACTTGTAGAAATGTAGTGATGAAAGTTGGAGATAACAATGATAGCAGCAGTTGATGTGCTGGATGTGAATTGCGTATAAATTCAATTTTATACTGATGCCAATTTAACTAGCAACCTGTCTCCTTCAAACTGTTGAGTGTAACTTGAATTTGTGTCTTCTTGTTCGTCCCATAATATTTGCCTCTTTTCATCTTTCTGCCTTTTCGTTTTAAATCTTATCAACAGGTTACATGTGTTCTAGGTATAACATACTAAACCCTAACAGCCATATGTAACTCTTTTCACTTGAATGACTTCTTGAAAGACTTGCTATGTTGTCCCTTCTTTAAGGTGGCACAGTCTCTTTTTGCAGCACCCTTTCTTTATCAGAATATTCCCTCAAATATTAGAATGCATTTGAATAATACTACCGAAAGTAAAGCACACAAATTGAATGGTGTAGCACACAAAACAACTATTTGCATGAAACAAATTTAACAGTAAAAAAGTAATTGTAGGTCTTAGAATCCCATATGTTACTAGTTTCTCTTTTACAAGATGTCAATTATCATGCCTTCTCAGATTTCTGAATGGCGCTCTTTAATTTTTTCTGAAGTAATGAATTTAAAAAATTGACCATATAGAGGTTGATAATTATCTGCCCCATTTTACGTAATGCTTCTCGTCTGTTCAGATGTTACCGAGATATCTCTTAATGTGGTTCTTTTGTTTTTCCAGCATATTACAATGACATTTGTGTTGGATCAATTGCATGCCGTCTTGAGAAGAAGGAAGGTGGTGCTATTCGTGTATACATAATGACATTGGGTGTCTTGGCACCATATCGTGGGTTAGGCATTGGTAAGTAATCTGCTAGTCTTAGTTTCAAGAACAAGGTGATATTATTTGACAATAATTAATTTAGTTATGGTGTATTTAGGTACAAAGCTGGTGAGTTACGTGCTTGATCTTTGTGCAAAGCAGAATATTGGTGAGATCTACTTGCATGTGCAGACGAACAACGAGGATGCCATCAACTTCTACAAGAAATTCGGATTTGAAATCACGGAAACCATTCAGAACTACTATACAAATATTACCCCACCGGATTGCTTTGTTGTTACCAAGTTCATTACTCAAACAAAGAAATGACCATTTGGATCGAGTTACTACTAGATTGATTTTTACTTTGCTTTGATGAAGCATGAACTAGTTTTTTGAATCGGAAGATTGGGATTAGCTATTTATTGGTAATGTCTCCATGAGACTTGAGGAATTTGATTTAAAATTTTAATTTATTTTTCTTCCTTAATAGTGTCAAGTATTGCCTAGTTCACCTTTTCGAACACGCAAATGGTGATTTCCCCTTTCTATTTTATCATTTCGTGCGAAGCTTGCATCTCTAGTTTACATTTTAGCCTCTCCGTCCGACCTTCTGTTTCTTGGGGTACTCGTTTACACGAGCTCTGGCATCCAAACTTTTTGACTTTATTATCAAAATAAATAACTTATATTTAATTTATATCACTATGAGAATAGTAACAATAAAGAAAGAGAAACCGTTATAAATTGGAGAGAAAAAGAGAAGAAAATAGAAAAATCAATAGACTCATGTGTTATATTGAGAACCAAAGTATCATATTTACAAGGAAGAATAAAATATATAAAGATAATAAAATTTAGGATTGTAGGGATATAATTGTTATTCACAAATAAAATATTATCTACAACACTCCTCTTTAAATAATACAGTACAAAATGATTGTTTCGTTAAAACTTTGTCAAGAAAATTCGATATGACAAAACTTGAGCTAAGAAAAAGTACAATTGCTCCTCTGATTTCAATTCTAGTATCAATTCATCTGTCTTGTACGTTAATGTCTTCAATATTGTAATTTTTGGTGAAGTATATCTTATGTTATCTTGTATAGTTTTCAAATAACATTGTTTTTATATGAGATATTTATCAACTTTTGATAACTTTAGTAGTATGATGATTCGAAAAATAGCTCTTATTGATCTTTTTGGGAGCCTCATATACATCAGAGTATTATTTTGAGGGCGATAAATGTCTTTTAGGTTACAGACATTCATTACACAAAAATATGCTTTATTTAAAACTTATTAGGAAAAACCATGTGAAAATATTTTAATGAAGGAAAAAAAGTACTTATTCTTTTAAGTATGTTACAAAAGTTGTCGTTAAAAACTTTGTCAGGAAAATCCAATGAGACAGAACTTTTAACCAAAGGAAAAGAATAAAATGCTTATTTACTTTCCTTCATGATAATATCATTTGAATTATATACTTCAGGCATAAAATCGTTCAAGAATAACATTAATAGTCATGTCATATAAATTGGCTGTAACCGTATTTCAAGTTTCGTGCATTGTTAGAATAACAACATACGGATATGTGACTTCATCAACCTTGAAATTCACTTTGTTGAAAGTCATTCATCATATATTATGACTTTATTTTTATCATTTTCTTTTCATATAAGTGTACACATTCAGATATTCGGATTGTAAATCCAGAAATTCAAGTCTCTCTAGTAAATTCAATCTAAGATTACGTTCCTTTTATTTATTCAATCATTACTTCGATCGATATATTTTGACGCATTTATTTCAATTACTCGCTGTATGATATATATATATCATGTGCAGAAGTGTTATCGACACCTTTTTTCTTTTTCGATTTTATTTCTTTTCTCATAATGATATAATTTATTGACATATCAAGTACATGAACATCTTTCAAAATTTTATAATTTATTATGTTTAAATACTCATCAAGTGTATATATTTCTTTAATGGGGCCATTTTTGTTAATTGCTTCATTTTCGTTTGGAGATTTTTTTGTAATAGAATCAAAGATCATCATGTCTAAGGCGTACCATAAAATTTATCAAATATAATATTAATTAATTTCCCTCTAGATCGGTAATTCGAGTTAGAGCATTTAAAACTGGTGTATGAAATATTGTTAATCGTGTATATATATTATATATAGTGTTAAATCATTTATTGATATCCCTTCTAACACTCATTAAAATGTTGAAATTTAAACTCGCTCATATTAATAAAACATACCTTCCTAATTGTATAATATGAAAATTATGCTTATAATTTAATTTTTGAACAGTAATTTCGTAAATTTCAGATTGCAAATAACATGTAATCATTTAGTAGATGTATCGAATCTGTTATATAGAGATAATATCTAGATGGTCAATGTGAAGTGTGACATGCCCCATATATCGCCCTAATTAATTTTAAAAAATATAAAAAATTCAGTCTTTGTTTAGCTAGTGATAGTTAATGACCAATAAGAGAACAAATATCATAAACGAATTTATTAAATTGAAGAATCTTCTAATTCTTCGTTGAATGTCCATTCGAATTCTCAATTTAGCATCATTATTGATTCAATGATGATTCAATTGGTCATGCCCAAAAAGCAATAAGAATTCTGGTTCAATACAATGCTTATCATTCAAATAACTATTCAATCAACTAAAAGACATAATTAATTCTTGAAAATATGATTAACTATGATGTAATCATATGAGAACCAATGTCCACATGGTATAAGTTTTATGTTTTCATTTAGTGATGAACACAAATTCATAAATTGTAACAAAATAGGAACGAGATAATTAATCGAACAATTGCCAAAAAAAAAAATAATAATAAAAATAAAGATAATTAATTATTAGAAAAGATGAAACACACTTAAAATATTGGCTTGAATTTATTTACACAAATTCAATTGAAAAAGTAGATATATTAATATAAAATTTGCCCTTTTGATTTCATAATTGATTAATGCAAAAAAGATATTCATTCAAAATAAAAACATAATCACTATGCATACAATAAAATAATCATTGCTTCTTAGAGCAATGAATCAAAATTTTCCTAAATTATTGAAATTGTAATATCACGTCCTTCTGGAACAACATTTCGCTGGAATATTAGAATAATATAATTTTTTTAAACAAATCTGCTTAATGTTCTTCGCTAATATTAACGAAATTGTAAATTGTGTGTGTGTGTGTGTGTGTGTGTTTTTTTTCCCATGAAAGCACAATTAGAAACAAATTATATTTAAAGAATATTATATGAAAAATATTGTATTTTTTCAAAAGTAATAATATGTGTGAATTTGTGCTTCTTCAAGAACAAGTCGATTTAGGTTGTTTCTTATTTAAATTGTTTATTTTTTCAAGGACAATAATACAATATTCTTTTAAAATATCGTATGAAAAAAAATTATTATGTAAATATTTATTTATCATAAATTGATATAGTCAAACTCGATATAATTAGATCAAATTACTATACCTCTTTGTTATACAATTTCAAGTTAAAATAATATTAAAATTTTCTTTGAGCAAATTAAAAGAGTTTCTTTGTAAACTCAATTGGCTAGAACTTCGTCTTTCTTTGACTAAAGGGGAAAAAACATCTACCTCAACTGGCTAAATATTTGAAAACAAAAATAGAAATAATTTTTTCTAACTCAATTGGTTAGAACTTTATGCTAATGACGTATTATAAGCTAAAGAGAAAAGGAGGAGAATGTGAAAAAGTTAATAGACTTGTGTGTTATATTGAAAACCAAAGCCGCATTTTTATAAGAAAGAATCAGAATACAATAATAATAAAAATCACAGTTGCTAGAGTATAATTGGCGGTCACTAAAAAAATATTATTTGCAACAGATACAATATTATTCTTGATATTCATTGTTTACTAAGGTTTTTGAGAATAGAAATTATATTAATTTTATTCTCTATAACATGAAGAATTCATGTACATTATGCGATTTTACTAGCCCATTTAAACAAGGAAACTATTTAATTAAATTCCTACAATCACATCTAATTATATTCCTGCAATCAATAAAACAATATTCCTAACAGCTATGACTAAACAAAAATAGGGAAAAACTAATAACGATGAAATAAAATCAGATTTATTAGCGCCAAGTTTTCAGCACTCCCCCTCAAGCGAGCGTATAGATGTTATGTATTAATAATGAAATAAAATCAGATTTATTAGCACCAAGATTTTCAGCACTCCCCTTCAAGCGGGAGTGCAGATGTTGTGTATTCCCAACTTGTCTATGATAGAATTAAATGAACGTCGGGTTGCTCTACTAATAGACCTCCTCCTTTGGTCATAAATCCGCAATCCCACTTAGAATGTTCTCGGTTTAAATCTTTTCCTTTATGAAGTGCAAAACTACCCGAACGCACTTTGTTTTGTTGCGTTAAAATGGGTTATGAGCAAAACTAATTGTAGCTTTGTTATCACAAGACACCATTGCAGATCTTTTTGGCTCCAATCTTAGCAATTTAAGAAGGTTTATAATCCATGAAACTTTATAAATCCCTAGGACCAGTAACCTGAACTCAGCTTCAATGCTTGATCGCGATACAACTTGCTGTTTTTTGCTCCTTCAAGTAACCATATCACCCATCCAAAAGTTGCAGTAGCACGTAGTAGATCTTCGGTCATTGATTGAGCCCGCCCAATCTTCATTTGAGCAGGCTTCCACAAGGAGGTGGTCATTCTTCTTGAAAAATAGGCCCTTACACGATGTTGCCTTTATATAGCATAAAAACCTTTTGGTCGAGTATGTAATAAGTAGATTAGTCTTTCACAAGTTTTTAGTACCCATCCATGTCCACTGGCACTCCTATCTTTGATTGTAGCGATTGGGATTGCCGCAGCTAGTTCTAATCCGATAAGCAAGGCTTCATACTCAGCTCGGAAACACCCAGTGCTGACCACACTGAGAGACACGAAAGCGCAGGTAACGTCAGTTGGCGAAGTGGCGTTAAGCATCCCTAGCGGTCCCGGGCCATCGCACGGAAAACTATAACCGAAATCCTGTGGCAGCAAGCTTGCGTCGTGTTATTCCTGTTTCTTTATTGAGGACATATTTCCTTTGGCATACAATTATACCATGTTTTGTACAAGCTAGCTCCATACTTCAAAAAATCTCAAAGTAGGGATCGACAAAATGACTATACCAAACCAAATTGAGTTGTTCAATTCGATTCTACCAAAAAAAAAGTTGATGATTTTGGTTCGTAGAACCGAGAATCGAACTCAATTTATTATTATTATTATTATTATTATTATTATTATTATTATTATTATTATTATTATTATTATTATTATTATTATTATATTTTCTTTTTACTAATTAACGAATCACACCAAAAAAATCCAACTTTAAAAATTACGAGTGTAAAATGGACAAAAGATCAGTTATCATTGCATTTTACCTTATCAGTTAAGATAAAATGGCCAAATTTAAATCTACATTCTAATTCATTTCTCTCATTTTCAATTTTAGATACACACTTGCACTCCTATGCCTCATGTACTATTACATTTGCTGAATGCTTGATGTTTATTTTTATTTTTTTTTATTTAGGTATATATTACTAATTTATGAATATAATGAAAGATTTTAATTTGTATTTATCATTTGAAATTTAATGGAACCAAAACCAAAATCACAACGGAATAGAATGGTTTAATTCTAATTTGGTTCGATATCTTAAAAAAAATAAAAAAATAAAAACAAAAGTTTGTTCTATTATCGAAAAATAATTGATCCATGGTTCGATTTGATTCTCTTGAAACCAAAACTAAATGGAACAATGTCCACCCCTATCTCAAAGTCCCCAAATCTTTAATCTCGAATGCTTCTGCCAAAAGCCCTTTCAAACTTTGAATTTCTTCTAAATCGTCACCTTTAACAATTACATCATTGATGTACACAATAAGAATAAGTTGTTCTCATGAGTGGTAAGTGTTTAAAGAATTAAGTGTAATATCCTTGGCTTTGTAAATAATCATATCCTTTCAAAGTAAGGTTGGGCAAAACTCCCGAACCTAATCGAGCTGTTCTTCTTAGTTATATACATGAATGGATATTTGAATCAAGAACTAACGAATTTAGATCAATTTTCAATTTTAGTTTAAAAACCAAGAAACTGAATAAGAACCAAATCTCCCTATTTTTAAAATTTATTTATTTTAAATAAGTCAAATAATTTATTTTTTTAAATAAATTTGTTAACTAGTTAATTTAGCTCAAAACCAAAAATATGATTTTCTTATTTCTAATTTTCAGTCTAAGCTCAACTTAATCAAATTGATCTAAATTTTACCCAAACCCAAATCTATTATCTTACCGTAGTGTCGTTTCTACTATTATGAAAAAATCGAATTGCAACTCGACAGCACATTTTTTAATTATTTTGAGCTCTCTATCTTCTTCTTCCTATAATTTTAATAATCAAATATATGAAGAATTCAGCAAAGAGAAATGCAAAAGATATATAAGATTGGACTAAGTTATTTTAGAATAACTAAGATTGGACATGTCATTAATTAAATTAATTTTAAAAAAATTAATTATAGTACAAAACTTGGGAACCGAATCGAATCGAATTGAATGAAACCTAACCCGAATGGTTTCACAATTAAATTTGGACCAGACGATTCTCGTTGGAATCGAAATGAACCGGACCATACCCAACTCTATTTCAAAAACTTAGTGAATTGTTCAAACCGAGCTCCCGGGGACTGCCTGATGCCATATAAGATCTCATTAGTTTGACATCTTCAAATCAAGGTGAAAAATCCATGTATACCACCTCATCCCATTACCCTTGTTTACCCCTATGGATCTTTCTAAAATCCAATTTACAATCTGGCTGGCTGCAATTAAATGAAGCCATTTTTTTCATTTTAAATGGGTCTCACTGTGGTGTAAGGATGGCAAAAGGACAGAGAAACTCATTGGCTTGACATGTCTTGGCTCGTTAAAGCTCGGTCCATGGACGGCTCTGGCTCATTTTGGGAGAAACCCGAGCACTAGCACGAGCCTAACATGGTGCTCGATCGATGAGCCGAACGATTTTTGAACCGTGCCCACAAGCATAAAATTCACAAGCCCACGAGCTGACAAGTAAAAAAAAAAAAACGCTCAAGCTCGTGCTTGAACGAGCTTTAGCTCAACTCGTCAAAGTGATGAGCCTAGCGGGGACCGACTCAACCCATTGCCATCCCTTGTGGTGGTCGCCAATGTTGATTATGCCACAGGACGGCTTTTAGTGATTATGAGTTTGCAATGCTGATGGTGAACTTGCGGTGGTGGGAAATGGGTAGGAAGGGTCCTTTGACGAGCCGAGCTCGTGAGCACCAGCTCGACCCATTGTCATCCCTTGCGGTGGAGTTCTCTAATGGTGATTATGCTGGAGGGCAGCTTTTAGTGATTATGAGTTTGCAGTGCTGATGGCAGACTTGTGGTGTGGGTGGGAAGGGTCCACGATGCTCTTTACAAATAAATGAGAAATGTTACATGTATATGCTATTTTTACAGAATGTCAATTGTCAAGATTTTATTGAATTCTTGACAAAAACAAAGTTAAACCAACCAATTAAATTCTACAATGCAGCACCTTTAAATTCATCTGTACGAGTAGCATATTTGAAAATAAAAAAATCTCGAGCTCAATTAATAAAAATTAAAAAAAAAAAAATTCCGTTCACCTCTAGTGAATTTACAACTAAACTTTTATCCCAATAAATGAAGAGATCGACCATGCCATAACTCAATCCATAAATCGTTAACTAGCAACAGTTCACATCTGTTTCATTTAAGAATGCAGAATACATCCACGAGAATGGCAAAAATACCTTACCTAAACGGCAGAAATAATTAGAACTTCCTCCAATACCATCGTGCAAAATTAGTTAACCAGCAAAGCATGCTCTAGTATGCCAGCCCTTTGCTGAGGTTTGCAGGCAGGGCTGAACAACCCCAACCAGCGGGAAAACTGGATATGAAAAAACTATCACCATTAACATACTCATCCGCATCCTATTATAAACTTTATTATCCCCGAATTCATCAGATATATGAAAACATTGCAATTACGAAGACACTAAAACCATAATAGTTCATATATAAAAAACAATACTCTCGCCTGTCCAATAAGTGCATTCGCGCAATACAGTTGAACCGATGCCTACACCCAGAAGTATCCTACGAGAAGACAAAAAGCAGAAATAAATCATCCATCAGTAGCTTCACAACCCGTGATTAATCAAACACCTAGAAATGTACACAAGCTAAGCCCATAAACACAAAACCCAAGACAGCATCATATAATCCCCTTGAACTAAAGCAATGTAAAACTAGGAAGGATGCCATCTAATCCTTGGAGGATTTGTTGATGAGAGACTTGTGTATGTGAGGGATTACTCCACCACCGGCTATGGTTCCTTTTATGAGAGTGTCAAGTTCTTCATCACCACGTATGGCCAGCTGCAAATGCCTCGGGGTGATACGTTTTACCTTCAAATCCTTGCTCGCATTACCAGCCAACTCCAATACTTCAGCAGTTAGGTACTCTAAAATAGCAGCAGAATAGACAGCAGCCGTCGCACCCACTCTTCCATGAGCAGTAACTCTCGACTTCAGGAGTCGATGGATGCGGCCCACAGGGAACTGCAGGAAAACAGTAATTAGTTAAACTATTGTCTAAGGCTCACTACATGAAAAATTTCTGATGATCAAAATCTATTTAAGCTAATTCGTACCACTCAAGACTCGATTTTTTGGCAAAAAGTGGTCAGCAAAAGGCTTTTATATATTGTTACCATATACACCGGCGAATATTTGGAAGAAGAATGATTTGTTGCTAATTGTCAGGGATTGTATCTTTAATTTATTTAGTTTCCTTTTAGATCAAATAACTGTAAATATATATACAATACACAACACAATGTAAAAGGGGTTTTTTTGGACAGAAATTTCACGCAATATGTTCGGCCTTTTTGTCACGGTATCAGAGCTAGGGTTCTAAGCTCTTACCTGCTGTGAATCTCGCCTCGTTCGGTGTATTGGGGACCATCGTCGGTGCCTCTCCGGGAGATCTCTGTTTCAGGTGTTGGGCGTGTGGGTCCAGTCGCCCTTCTGCGCATTTCAGGTTCGATTGTCTTCTGCGTTCGGTCGTCGATTGTCTTCTGCATTCGGTCGTCGATTGTCTCCTACGTATTTCCGGTTTCTCTCGAAGTTTCAGCAGCTTTTGCCTCCATTTCTTGGGTGTATCGTGTAGGTGCGTGGTGCGTTTCTTGTAGTCGGACTGTGGTGGTTGATTAATTGTTGTCTGCGGCTCTGTTTCAGTTTCGGCTCGTTAATTTATTTCAATTTCAGCACGTGGTTTAATTTTTTTTTTTGTCTGGATTCTTCATTTGGTTGAATAATTTATTCATCATGTCAATTGATAAGTTAGACTCATTTATTATCTGCTTCAATGGAAAAAATTATTCGGCTTGGGAATTCCAATTCCAATTATTTGTGAAAGGAAAAGAGTTGGGGGGACATCTAGATGGTAGTGATCCCGCTCCTAAAGATGTTGAGGCTTTGTCGAAGTGGGAAATTAAGGATGCTCAAGTTATGACTTGGATCCTTAGTTCAGTCGAACCACACCTTATTCTCAATCTGAGACCTTACAAAACTACTGCTGCTATGTGGGATTACATTAGTAAGGTTTACAAACAAGACAACACGACTTTAGGATTTCAATACTTTTCAGGTTTTCAAAATCTTTGGACTAAATATTCAGATATAGTTTATGCTAATGTTCCCGCGGCAGCCCTATCTGCTATTCAAACAGTGCATGAGACAAGCAAGAGGGATCAATTCTTGATAAAGCTACATCCCGAATTTGAGGCTGCACGATCCAATCTGATGAATCGTCAACCTGTACCATCTCTAGATACTTGCTTGGGTGAACTTCTTCGTAAGGAGCAACGTCTAGTTACTCAGGCTGCCGTGGAGCATAGGGATACTATCAGTGCTCCTGTGGCTTATGCAACACAAGGAAGGAACAAGGGTCGTGACATGCGTGCTATCCAGTGCTATAATTGTAAAGCTTTTGGTCACATTTCTCGGGATTGTCCTAAGAAATACTGTAACTATTGCAAGAAACAAGGTCATCACATATCTGTTTGTCCCATTCGGCCAGAAAAGAGGCATACTGCTGCCTATCATGCCTCCACTAGTACCTCTAACTTTGCAGCATTGCCTACTGCTTCGCACGTTGTTCCAAATCCTGCTTCTACATCCACCCTCACCCCTGAAATGGTACAACAGATGAGCAATTCTGCTTTCTCTGCCTTTGGACTATCAGATACTCATAAAACTTCGTCTAAACCATGGTTCTTCGACTCTAGAGCTTCTAATCATATGACCAACACCGTTATTCCTCTTTCCAATGTGAAAGAATATGATGGGAATCTAAAAATTCATACTGCTAATGATAGTTCTCTGCCTATCAAAGGTGTTGGTGATCTTTCAGATTCCTTAACTAATGTTTTTGTGTCTCCCAATCTTTCTACAAATTTACTTTCCGTTGGTCAATTAGTTAATAGTAATTATAATGTTCATTTCTCTCATTCTGATTGTGTTGTGCAGGATCCGATTCAGTGTCGGGGAAGATGATCGCAAAGGGGCCTAAAGTGGGACGACTCTTTCCCTTGCATATTTCTCCTTTTCCTAGTTCTCCTTTACTTTCATTCGCATGTAATACCATTAGTACTGATAATAAATTGTGGCACAAACGTTCAGGCCACCCAAACTCAGATGTACTTCGCACTTTATTTAATTCTAATTTATTGGGTAATAAAACATGTTCGTCTAAACTTTCTTTTGATTGCACTGCATGCAAACTTAGCAAAAGTAAAACTCTACTTTTTCCCACTCATGGATCTCGTGACTCACAATGTTTTGATATTATTCATAGTGATGTTTGGGGAATTTCACCTATTATTTCTCATGCACGTTATAAGTACTTTGTTACATTTATTGATGACTTCAGTCGTTTTACTTGGGTCTATTTTTTAAGAGCCAAATCAGAAGTCTTTTCAATCTTTAAGCGTTTCCTAGCTCTTGTTGAGACTCAATTTTCTAGCCTCATTAAGATCTTGCGATCTGATTCTGAGGGGAATATATGTCAAATGAGTTTCAGAACTTTCTCCAAAGTAAGGTATCCTCTCTCAACATTCTTGTCCTTCAACACCACAGCAAAACGGTGTTGCTGAAAGAAAGAATCGTCATCTCCTGGATATGGTAAGAACACTCTTACTTGAATCATCGGTACCTTCTCGATTCTGGTGTGAAGCACTTTCCACTTCGGTTCATTTAATTAATCGTCTACCATCTCCTATTTTAAATCATGTTTCTCCATTCTTTAAACTATTTGGATATTCACCCTCCTATTCTGATCTGCATACATTTGGTTGTGTTTGTTTTGTACATCTTCCTGCTCATGAGCGACATAAACTTACTGCTCAGTCTGTTAAATGTGTTTTCCTTGGTTATGCTGTCTCTCAAAAAGGTTATATTTACTATGATTCTCACGCTAAACGTATAAGCATTTCTAGGAATGTGGTTTTCTTTGAAAACCAATATTTTTTCTGTCTCATTCTGAGCTACTCCATACATCTTCATCTATCCTGCCTAGCTTCTCTGATTCCCCAGCTGTTATAGCACGATTTAAGCCAGGACTTGTGTATGAACGACGTAATCGTGGGTCTGATCCTCCTACTGATGTGCCCCCTCCTGATCTCGAACCGGCACCTAATCCTCCTACAGTTCCCATCTGTCTTCATCGGTCTACTCGTCATTCTCGCCCTGATCGGTACGATTTCTCATCTCCTGTTTCTCTTGTAGCTACTTTATCTGCTATTTCCGTTCCTACTTGTTACAAACAGGCCATGGAACATGAGTGTTGGCAAAAGGCAATGCAAGCAGAACTTCAGACCCTTGAGGAGAATCACACTTGGGACATTGTGCCTTGTCCTCCTACTATGAAACCTATTGGGAGCAAATGGGTTTTCTCTATGAAACTTCATTCTGACGGCTCCTTGGATCGGTACAAAGCTCATCTTGTAGCTCTGGGTAACAGACAGGGATATGGGGTTGACTATGAGGAGACATTTGCTCCTGTCGCCAAAATGACCATAGTCAGGACGATCCTAGCTATTGCTACCTCGCAGTGATGGAACCTACATCAGTTGGATGTGAAGAATGCCTTTCTTCACGGCGATCTTCACGAAGAGATTTATATGAAGCTTCCTTCTGGTATGACTACTTCATCTCCTCATGATGTTTGTAAACTACGACGTTTTTTGGATGGACTCAAGCAGGCTCCCCGAGCTTGGTTTGAGAAGTTTCGTAGCACACTCATTACCTTTAGTTTTGCACAGAGTCAGTATGATTCTTCTCTCTTCTTCCACAAGTCTACCTCTGGTATTGTACTTCTCTTGGTTTATGTGGATGATATCATTATTATTGGCACTGACTGTGATTTTATTTCAAAGCTTCAAAAGTTATTACATGCAACTTTTCACAAGAAAGATCTCGGCCAACTCACATACTTCTTAGGACTCGAAGTTCATCATCAGCCCAATGGTATTTTCTTAAACCAGCATAAGTATATTCAAGATCTTATTGCGTTAGCTGGGTTGGAGAAGTCTTCTTCTGTTAATACTCCTATGGAAGTCAATGTAAAGTATCGGAAAGATGAAGGGGATCTTCCAGACTATCCTACTCTATATCGTCGCCTCGTTGGGAGTCTCATCTATTTGACTACCACTCGCCCAGATATCTCTTATGTCGTTCATCGGGTCAGCCAGTTTATGTCTTCACCTCGGCATCTTCATCTTGCGGCCGTTCGTCGTATTATTCGCTATATTCGTGGATCATCCACTCGTGGGTTATTTTTTCCTAAAGGGTCGTCTCTTCAACTTTCTGCCTACAGTGATGCTGATTGGGCCGGGTGTCCGGATACGCGTCGTTCCACTACGGGTTGGTGTATGTTTTTAGGTGATGCTTTAATCTCTTGGAAATGTAAGAAACAGGATCGCGTCTCTAAATCATCTACTGAGGCTGAGTATCATGCTATGTCTACAGCTTGTTCTGAGATTATTTGGTTACGAGGTCTTCTGGAGGAGCTTGGGTTTTCTCAAGATAATCCTACTCCTCTTCATGTTGACAACACCATTGCTATTCAGATTGCAAATAATCCCGTATTTCATGAACGTACGAAGCATATCGAAGCTAATTGTCATTTTATTCGTGATACTTTGATGGATAGGGTGATATCTCTTCCCTACATTTCTTTTGATCTCCAAGTAGCAGATGTCTTCACCAAAGCATTGACTCGACTACGACATCATTTCCTTGTGGGCAAATTGTTCTTGGTTGACCTCCCAGCATCAATTTGAGGGGAGGAGTTACCATATATACCGGCGAATATTTGGAAAAAGAATGATTTGTTGCTAATTGTCAGGGATTGTATCTTTAATTTATTTAGTTTCCTTTTAGATCAAATAACTGTAAATATATATACAATACACAACACAATGTAAAAAGGGTTTTTTTGGACAGAAATTTCACGCAATTTGTTCGGCCTTTTTGTCATATATGGGATACTCACAATA